CCAGGCGAGAAAATAATAATAATAATGAACAGCTATATCCCAGAGACATTTTATGGGGTAGAGTGGGAAATGGGATCAAAACCAGTGTGGGGAGGGAAATGCACTGGACTATGGTGATGGCACACAGGTGATCTGGTGATGGGAAACCCAAGAGGATTGCAACTGAGATGGAAAAATGCACAAAAATATGTAAAAATAAATTATATTAAAAACATATCTTTATGTGTGAGGGCTTATGTGTGAGACACCATGCTGTGGCCTTTTGGTCTGGGGAAAGCCGTGTATTGTCCCTGGCTTGCTCTCAGCACCTTCTCTCCTCTGAGGTGGGGAAATTCTTCCTAGCAAGTCTCTGAACAAAGGTCCTTGTGCTATTGAAAGTCCAAGTCGCCTCTAAGTTTCAAGGGGAAGGGAAAGTCAAGGATTAGGCCTCAATGACTTTCTAACACCACAGCCTGTAAGTGTTTGTGTTTTTTATTTTTTATTCGCATTGTTGTAGGTCTGTCACAGAGCAGTAGCAGAGATGGAGCATTTTCCTGGGAAATCTCCGCACTTTTTGTATCTGATCTTCCTTTTGTCACTTAAAATTCCCCTGATCGCTCATCATATTCCACTAAAATAACTCTAACAAGTAATATTTAAGTGAAACACAATTTATTTTTCTGTTTCTACTACAGGTGAAGACGGATGCCAGGCGTCTGAGAGGGAAGCTATTGGAGAGGCTTCCGGTGCAAAAGTGAGTTGCTTTCTTTTTTTCAAAGTATGAAACACGTTGCAAGATGAGTATGTTCATAACCTCGGTCTTTAAGCTATTCTTTAACAATTATTCTCTGTCAGCAAAAGTTGTCTTGCTTTGGTTAGCAGAAGTATAATGGACCAGGCGAGAAAATAACAAAAATAATGAACAACCATATACCAGAGACATTTTGAAGGGGTGGAGTGGGGAATGGGATCAAAAACGGGGGTGGGGGAGGGAAGTGCATGGGATTATGGTGATGGCACACGGGTGATTTGGTGATGGGAAACCCGCGGGGATTACAATCGAGATGGAAAAAAAATGTATAAAATGATGTAAAAATAAACTTTTGTAATAATAAAAAAAAAGTTTTCTTGCTTTGGAACGTCTGATAAGAGAGAATAACCAGCACGGTAATCCAAGGACAAAATGCTGAGGGTGACCACGCTTAACTCACATGTGGAGGATAAAAGCCCTGCAGGACGCAGTCGGCGGTCACTGCTGGCGCGCGCTCTGGCCATTACTTTGTCTTTTAAGTACACGATGGAAATTTTCATTGGCCAGGAACGTTCTTCCGTCCTTTTAAACTGTTACTTCTTCAAGATTTAAAGTCTCAGTCTAGTTTTGCAGTGGTAGGTCTCGAAAAGCCACAATGCGTGATAAAAAGCGGAGGAAGGGAAGAGAGAGGCTTTTTTTCAGAGCCAAGCAATTATTTCCCTGGCTTTCTTTCCTGAGTGCTTAATTCATCGTGCTCTGACCGCATTATGAGCTATTTGTTCAAGAGCTGGGAGTTGAGCGAATGTTGGTCCATGGTGCAGCAAATGTACAGGAGAAAGGTGGAAAGAGATGCAGACACTGGGCCTGGTGGGAGCCGTTTTTAGCCCTAAGTTTAGAGTTTTGATTTCACACAAGGCCTTTTCTTTTTAACCAGATAGTAAAACGAAAAGCCTAAGTGCAACATTGGGTTAGAGGTTTGTTGCCTTGAACGAGCAACAACAATCGTGTTTTATTGGATTCATAAATATTTGATACACTGCATTATTCTTGAAGTTCTTGACACGATTACAAAGACTAATGGTATTTTAATCGGAGCAAAGATGCCTTTGCTTGGATCGGAGTTCAATGTTTCATTAGCCGGTAAAGCAATGGTATCCTCGCTGCAGACCTTGGTTGCCGGCAAGGAATTCCCAGCAGTTCGGCCTCCCTCAGTCGCCAAGGCTGAGCAGCTCACAGGTCAGGAGCTCGCCGCCTAGCGCTGACCCACTCCGCCCAGGGCCCAGAGCCAGGGATAGTGTTTTAATTATAATTTCTTTTAAAAACAGAAATAAAATGAATATGATGACGAAAATATAAGAATGAACCCAGCCTGGGTTACGTTTCTCTTTATAGTCATGCAGCCGTAAATGCAGGTTTGGGTCCTTTACACATAGGTCGGGTCAAGGGCCCCGCAGGCCCCACAGCAGGCTGGCGGGTCCTTCCTGGGTCAATTTTGCTCCTGCTGACTGGCGGGCTGCGAGGTCTCCTAGGTGACTGAGCCCCACGGAGCCCCCTGGGGCCCCTGCTCCGCGTTCCCAAAACGAGCTTCGGTCCATTACTTTAGCATGGACGTTATTGTGTCGGTGTTCTGAACGTTCCATTTTTATTGATTGGGGGGGACACTGTGACTCTGACCTATAGCTTCTTATTCAGATTGATAACTGGACTTGGCATCCCCCATCCTGGTTAACTACCTGCACCCACTTCCTATCCCTCATTTAACATGGCGTTGCGGCATGACATGGGGATGTGAGGTGACACCCACCCTTGCGTTGCACAGCCTGCAGCATCTGGAAGAAGGGCACAGTGATGGGGCTGAGGACAGAACTGGGCTTTTAGCAGGGAACTGAAGATCGCCCACACCTGTGTTGATTCTTGACGATTCACACTGGAAAGCAAAACTTGGAGTTTTTGCTTATGCTTATTATGACTTCATGAAGTACCTTTATTTTGCATCCTTGTTAATTTGCTGACAGTATAGGTAGGGTCTGTCCCATTGCTCCAGAATTTTCGTTCTTCCATAGCTGCGGATCTCTGTGACTGACAATAGAGCACTTTGGATTACCACGACCGATCTGATTCTGTTTCTGAAGCAGTGTTCTGGTTTGGAGAAAACGTTGGTCTGTAGGCATAGGAAGACACAAATAGTGCACAGTGTCTCTGAGGGTCACTCTGGGCTTCAGTGTGCTGCATGTCCGACTAACTTCCTCTTCGAAATAGGTGACCATTTAAGCATAAACTCCCTGGGAGTCAGGGTCTCTGCTCACTGCAGATACCTAGCAAACGTCACTCATAGGAGAAGCTGCGAGGTTTCCTCCTCAGGAAAGGTAAACCTTTGGAGTGTTCTGATGTGTTTGGGGAGCATGTGCATGAACCTTTACTTCCAGCTCTCGGACTAGCGTGTGTCTGGGCAAATATACAAACATATATAACCCACCAGTCTAAAAAGTGAATCTACCAGACAGTTACAGATCTGTCACTCTATCAATCAACCAGATTATTAACATTATACGATATTCTCCAGGATAGCAGGACGGTATGTGTTGTGGTCACCACTCATTCAGATGAAGCTAGAAAAACAAGAATGTTCTAGAGAGGCAGGTCCCTCTCTCCAGCTATTGAAGTCTCGAGGTGTAAGTGAAGGGAATCAACCAAGCTTTGTAGCAGTGCTTGGTTAGGTGGTCCTGATTTGCAAAAACTTTTGAAAAATCAGAGAAGTACAGGTCTGTTTGGTGTGGTT